CCAGGTGAAGACTCTAGCAGAGAACTGAACGCAATGGAGGGGTGTGGCTTAAGCCCTATGTTCCTCTAGGAATTAAAGGAAACAATAATAATATATATCGAATTGACAAGTAAATGTGTGATCAGATTGTTCGAAATGTATAGCAAAAATGCATCACATACCTTTTCAGATAATCTCCGTCTTCTAATAACGCTATCCAAACTGGAATTAAACAAGAAACCGGATTTACTTGTTATTACTTTACTACGTTCTTTTTTTAAATGTTGTCTTTCAGAATAACTGACTAGAAATCGAATTCAATTCTTTACTTACATTCAGGGGCTTGGTTTTACTAACTTACCACTAACCAAAGCTATACATCAACTGTGTTAGACACTTTAGTTAAATTCTATGACTTTTTCCGTTTCATCTTAATAAGTTGTTTTTCCACGCTCGACTCTTTCATTATATTGAGAAATGTTGGTTCTGCATACATCAGTGAGACACTTGGAACTCATCACCAAAGAACTGTTAAGTAACCTGGGTTTCGTGTTTGTAAACACTCTAGATATGATGAACACATTTATAATCTTAAAATAATTTACACTTTTCGACAAATTCAAGCATATGTTATCAAAAATATCTCAACCAATGTTGTCATTAAAGCAACCTGATATTGGCATAAAAGGCACCCTGATGTAGAGGTTAGTTTAACCGACGTAGTCTTCAACCTCGTCTAAATGGTAGTAAACTGGGAGAAATTGGAAGGATAAACATGAGGCTAGCAACCTCTCAGCTGCCAGCAAAATATATCCACTGCTACTGGAACTTTAAAGCCGGTAGCCGTATGTTCCACTTTGGAATAAAAGTAATGGAAAAGAAGGCTGAGTAACTGCATTTTATTGATTTGATGAAAATATTTAAGTTGTTATTTACAAAATTAGTCAAAATGTACTGTTAATTGAATAATACATTTATACTGATGACAATGGAAGGTATGGAGAATGAAATCTGATTGATAAAGTAAGCAAGACCAGATGTGAAGGCCAAAAATAGCTTGTGCTCGAAACGTCATCAGTTAATATTACTGTACAACACTGTGTGATTTATAAAACGCAAAATAATTGAGCAAAGAATATCCTTTTCGATAAATTCCTCTTCTGGCTCTACAATTATATACATATATGTCTATATACATAGAATATTCTAGATTAGTAGTCAATAACAAGATTAGTGTTTTTGAAATAATATCGATTTGTAAAGTATGATCAGTGCAATTACAGTTCACTAGAGATGCTTAAATTATAATAATAATAATAAAGATATGATAGCAAATAGAATATCAAATAAAACTAAGGAAATTTCCACAGAAAACTGAGGATCATTCGAACCTAGGTAGTCAGCGGAGTAAGGATAATGTCTGAAACTAACTTCTTTTGGACGCACAAATGAGGCTTGCTAATATGGATCCCAACAGCCAGCTTCAGCAATATTTAGTAATCGAACTCTTAAGGCAAAAAGTAGTAATATTGTTATTGACTACTATTCTAGAATATTCTATGTATATAAATATATATATAACTGTAGAGCCAGAAGAGGAATTCATCGAAAAGGATATTCTTTAATGATACTTTGATAAAGCTATTAGCATTAAATAGCGAAATGTCAGTAAAAACAATCTCGTTTTGTTTTTCATTCATTGGGAAATACAAAAACCTTTGTTATAAGGATATTCTTTGCTCATTTATTTTGTGTTTTGTAGATGTCTGAATGAATATTTTCGCTTTACTGTGTGATTTATCAAAATAAAATCTTATCTATGATGGAGTTATACTCTACCACAGTGCCCAAGTTTTATACTTATATCAAAAATAATATCATTCTATTTCACAGGTCCTCATCAACTAATGACTACCTGGAGTTAAGAAGGTTATAAAGGGATAAAAATAAGAGATTTCAATCCCATCATGGAAAAGATTTTATTTTGATAAATCACGCAGTGGTGTTGTACAGTAATATTTACTGATGACCACGTTTCGAGCACAAATTATTACTGCTCGTTATCATATCGAGGCACTCACATACAATTAGAATGGCATTCAAACCTACAAACTCACGTAGGCGGCACAAGCTCTGTAGGCTAAAGGACCCTATAGGTTAACCCAATTAAACAAAGTAATATATTTTAAAAAATACCTTGCAATGACTGTGAGTTAGGCTAACTACATAGGTCAATCAAACTAGTAGATCAGGAGTAGTGAGATTGCCTGTCAGAATTTAAAGAAGTTAGCTAAGGTTAGAATGATTGATCCCACGAAGAAAAGTCATTTAGAAAAAAAAATCTGCAATGCACTGATCATCAACACACAATCACACAATAGGGTGGGTTGGACAGAGTCAAAATTCTAAAAAAGTGATGTAGGTAGGTGGAGAGCGAGAGAGGTTGATTATTGAATCCTGCTTAGTTCATCGAGTCCACACCCAACGCATGCAATAGGAGTGACTCAACTCAAATACTAGAGATACAGAAGATATTGTTACCAGTCAAATCAGAGGAGGATAATAAATAATGTTAAAATGTATTCAATTCACATTATAACACTCAAGCAGTTTACTTATTTTTATTGTAAAAAGCGTATTATTTCCCATATGATTGTATTCGCTTGATAACACTAATATTATTATTTCCGAATGCACTCTATCTTATATTGATTTTTATTCAAATGTCTAATAAACTTTTACTCATGAAGCAAGAAAGTTGTGTGAGTAGCGCCTTGATTTGATTATGAGCAATAGCTTGTGCTCAAAACGTGGTCATCCGTAAGTATTACAGTACAGCACTGTGTGATTTTATCAGAATAAAATTTTTATCCATAATTGGAATTAGGATTTCTTTGACATTACATATAGCTACAATAGCACGATACACTTAAAACATTCTGTCTCAATAAATCTGTCTTTCAGGATAAATAAGGGGATACAAATAGGTCATTTCAGTTTTTGAATGGTACTAGAGAAAATATTATGAAAAATTGACTCATCCAAAATATAAGCACTACAATTTTTAGTTTAAGTTAGCATCAGTTTATAATCAGCTGATGAGGACCTGTGTAAAATAAAATGATATCATCGTTTTATAATGCAAATTTGGTCTTTCTCCCTTTATCAAAATCTATCAAGGGGATAAAGTGTATGAAGTCTAACTGAACGGTAGGCTACACGTTCTGAAAAATGATGACAAGTAAGTACCTACATGCTACTTGTGTAAGTGAAAGGTGATGGATAATGAAATGAGAGAAGAAATGACTGCATTGTCTCTGTTAGGCACCTGACAAAAGCAGGATATAATAAACACAAAATAATCCAGCAAAGAATATTCTTTTTGATAAATTCCGGAACTGTATAGACACATCGATGGTGTGGCAATGGGGTCACAACTTGGACCCATTCTAGCCAACATTTTCTTTGCGAAACTAGAAAATGGGCCTTTGAAGCATGTTATTAATGGACTCGAATTTTATTGTCGGTACATGGATGATACTTTTTTGATTATGAAGAAGAAAAATGAAGCAAAGAACATCCTGGATAAATTTAATGAGGTACATCCCGCAATAAATTTGACTATTGAGAAAGAAAAAGACTCTAGTATTTCATTTTTAGACGTCCTTATGACCAGAAAAGAGGACGGCACAATAAGAAGTGTTTATAGAAAACCTACATCAATGGGCCAGTACACACATTTTCTCAACTTTGTGCCCTTGAAATACAAACGCAATCTAATAAAGTACTTAGTCCACAGAGCAGGAGAGATTTGCTCGGACCAATGTCTTGACGAGGAACTTAACAATATTAAACGCTTGCTAAGTGAGAATGGTTATCCTGAAAAGTTTATTGATAAGAATATGAAGCTAAAGCCAAAGCAGCCCAAGTTACGAACAGTTCCAAAAAAGACCTTATTCCTACAGATGCAGTTCCTAGGAGACAACACCAGTGAGATACTAACACATCGCCTCAGAAATGCGGTAAAAAGAGCATTTCCTGCTGCTCAATTACGATGGATCTTTAAAACCACTCCACTTCTGCGTTCGAGAATAAAAGAAAAACTGCTAATTTCGCCTATTCTATGTGTATATACCAATTTAACTGCTCCTGTGGAGCCAGTTACATCACCCTGCCTGGTTAAGCAAAGGACAAACAAAATCTATTCGCAGCGCTATTCTGTCTCATCTTGTAGAGACAGAACACAAGATTGACGTTAATCATGCTTTCAGGGTCATGTACCGCATACCTATGAATCTCAATTTTGCTTTAAGAGTTCGACTACTAAATATTTCTGAGGCCTAATTTATGCATCCAAAAGAAGTCAGTTCAGACATTATCCTTACCCCACTGACCATCTAGGTTCGAATGATCCTCAATTTTCTGTGGAATTTCCCTAATTTTAGTTGATATTCTACTTGCTATTATATCTTTATTATTATTACAATTTAAGCATCTTTAATGAACTGTAGTTCCATTGATCTCACTTTACAAATCGATATTATTTAGAAAACACTAATATTGTTATTAACTACTAATTTAAAATATTCTGTGTATATAAACATATATATAATTGTAGAGCCTAGAAGAGGAATTTATCGAGAAAAAGCAGAATGTTTTATTCTTTACCTGTTTGTTTGCTCTATTCCTCTACGTGTCGAGTGGAACATAGGGCTTCAGGCCACAGGCTTGAAGTTTCGGTAGTAGTGGTGTTTATTTTTACGGGATGGGGTTACTGACCTCATGCCCAACCTTCGCGCTTTACCAGTCTTATTACTGGCTTGGCCAAGTTTAGGAGTGTGTCGGCCGGGGATCAAACTCCGGACCACATGAGGCGTGGTTGGCGAGCATTCTACCGATGTGCCACCGACGCAGCTACTTACCTGTGATGAACGCTTAATCGCTTAACTGATTACAGAATAATATGTTGTCATATATAAGTAAAAAAAACGAAAAATAACAATATATGAATAGATACTTACTGTCTTTTGTGTTGAAAAAAACTTGCAATCTGTAGGGCAATAATTCCAACTATCAAGATAATCACACCTAACCATAAAAGTATGCAAGTTAACTTCTTATTCATTAGCCATTGATAATTTTGAATTTTCACATCATCTGAATGCGTGCCGATTGAATCTCTCGGTACAGATGATAACCTGTGCATAGACGGCAGCATATCCCCGTTGTACTTTTCAACTAAATCTCTTGTACCAAGACGTAGTTTATAAAAATATGGACAACGGCCATAATTTTTAATTATAGGCGGTGGTTCTGGATGCAGTTCTGGGATGTAGCGTGATAGACGTGAGCAGAGGTTGCGCGCATTTTCATAAGGTCTAGTCAGTGGCATTGTTAAAGAGGATGATGATGAAGGCTTGTCACTGCTGATGTATATTGCCTCTATTGATCAGTAATGTCATGAAACATTTTGCAAGTGAATGATGCTTCTTTTTTTCCCAAAATGTTCTATGTATTAAAATGTTTCGTTTAGCAATTAATTATTCATACGTATGTTTCCTAAGTGTGAATAAACACCTCCAGTATAAGTTAAAGGGTAATTCACCTTGATCTACTTTCTAGTGCAAGCATAGTCTGTTGGCATGGTGCACAGTCGTAAAATGATTGGTCAGCAAGTAACCAATAGGAGGGACTTTTAGAGGGAAAAACAATCATACAGTTGTTGCTTTAGCATGTAACAAAAATTATTAATTTCCTATCTGAATAAAAGCACAATTATTTTTTCATTAACCAAATGTTTGTGCTGTTTAGCTATCCAGACTAGTGGAATAATTTGCAACAGAAATCCTTTATGACGAAATCTCACTTTACCAAAATGAATATTTTAAATAATGTGAATAAGCTGTAGCCGGCTGGTTTAAACTCAGCTTTGTAGGTTGTGAGTCTAAATGTCGTTTCAGAACTTATATTATACCTCATAAATAAAAGTATTATCACATTTTTTCATCGAAAGTGTGTAAAAATCATTGTAATGTCATGCTATTTTGTATGATCATAGGGAATAAAAAGACAGTTGCAGCGAAGAAAATTTTCTTTTCGACGAAGTCATCATCTAGGCTGTACATTCGTGTATTTATATCAAATGGATGGGAAAGTTCCAGAATTATTTCTGGTTAAGGGCCAAGTTAATAAAAATTACAATTAGGAATTAGAACGCCATAATAAACAGGGGGATGGGTAAAACTCAAATAAAGTAGCATAATAACTGAGAAAATTGACATTGTGCAATTGGGGGTTAGAAATGTAAAAATAACAAAATATACAGGATGTTTGGATAAAAAAACTAGTGTGATGAATAATTGTTTATGCAATCAGGGATTAAATATGTAGAAATAGTAAAATGACAAAATAAACAGGAAGTGTGGATATGAAAATATGGTAGTGTAGACAGGGATTAAGAAAACTTCAAATAACATGAATAAACAGGAAGTTTAGATAAGAAAGGCGATGGGATGGTCATTATTAAAAAAAATTTTACGTGTTTATGATGGCCATGGCAGGGACAGGGGTTGAACGTATTTCTTTTGGATACAAAGGGTGGATTTGAGTTTTTGGATAGCTAACGCCTCAACTATGCCCAAATGTCTCGATTTCACTCCCTTTGACAGGTTTGACTGAATCTTGTATATTACTTTGAAGGACTTTCCGAAAGGCGCTGAATGTCCTGAGTTGACCAGATGTTCTGTCACTGAACTGTATACGCGTTTTTGCTCTCCTTTTACCAGCCAGGCTGGGTAGTGTTCACGAGCGCGTTTTCCAAGTTGGCGCATGGTACGGCCGATGTACTCAGCTCCACAAGAGCAAGTAAACTGGTATATGCACGTTGAGGTGGCCCAATGCGACAACTTGTCTTTCGCATTCTGGTTGAACAGTTTCTTGCAGGAAAACGTCAGTCGTAGGCTTGCGCATCATAACAGTAAATTTTTTTTTAATGACCATCCCATCGCCTTTCTTATCTAAACTTCTGTTTATTCATGTTATTTGAAGTTTTCTTAATCCCTGTCTACACTACCATATTTTCATATCCACACTTCCTGTTTATTTTGTCATTTTACTATTTCTACATATTTAATCCCTGATTGCATAAACAATTATTCATCACACTAGTTTTTTTATCCAAACATCCTGTATATTTTGTTATTTTTACATTTCTAACCCCCAATTGCACAATGTCAATTTTCTCAGTTATTATGCTACTTTATTTGAGTTTTACCCATCCCCCTGTTTATTATGGCGTTCTAATTCCTAATTGTAATTTTTATTAACTTGGCCCTTAACCAGAAATAATTCTGGAACTTTCCCATCCATTTGATATAAATACACGAATGTACAGCCTAGATGATGACTTCGTCGAAAAGAAAATTGTCTTCGCTGCAACTGTCTTTTTATTTTGTATGAGTTACATGGATGGAAAACCAGGGGATACACAGGGAATTCCTCCATCTTAAAACTTACCTAGGCTTTCTGTTTGCTTTAGCAGAGTCACGTAGTTGTATTGTATTATTATTTTTCCCTTGGGTTCTGAGTGGAACATGGGCCTTCAACATCATGCATTCACATTGTCCTGTTCTCTGTTGGCCTCTTTAGGTGGCCCAACAGTTGCCCGTAGTCTTTCATTTCCGCTTTGCACGATCTCCTCTATGCCGACCTCGGACCCACGTCAAGTCCATCATTTCCCATTCCGGTTCCACTTGAGCGATGGTCTGGTGCACAGTGTCACTCAACAGTTGGTCTCCTGAGTGTGTTCCCTCTTTATCTCCGTCTTCTTCAGCGTATTTGTTGAGCAAGAGGTTCGTGATTAGTGAGTTCGCAGACTTTCTTGTTGCAAACTTTGTTCTGGCCATCTCATCTTGAGTATGGAACCATCGGAGGTAGATGTTAATAAAAGTCCTCAGCAGCCGATTTCAAATGCTTTCCTTGACGCTCACTGTAAGTTTCTGACCCATATATATAGGGGCTGACTGGTTTAACACTGGTGCTGAAAAATTTGAATTTTGTTGTTTGTACCAAGTGCAGAACATCTCCAAACTGATTTCAAGGTGCTGAATGTCTGTTTTGCCTTCCCAATTGTGGTTAAGACATCGTCATCCGTTCTGCCTGTAGTTGAAGCGACGCTAACTAGATAAGTGAAGAAGTGACCTCATTCAAATTTATTCCATGGATTCCATGGATGACTGGTACCGGTTGTTGTTGCTGCTGCTTTTGGTTGATTATCTTCATCACCTCCTTTTCCTCTGTGTTCACTTGGAGTCCAGCGCTTGCTACCTGCTTGTTCAGCCAGTTTGTTGGTTTTCTTCTGTAAGCCTTCAAGTTTACCTGACATAGGAAACACATCGTCCGTGAAGTGCAGATATTCTTGAGTCTTCTTATGCGTCCAATGTATTCTTGTCTTCTCACTCCCCATGCATGGTTTTCCGCATATTTCCAGTCCACCTTAATTAAGAATATCATTGGTGATAGTACTCAGTGTTGTCTCATTCCTGTCTCCAATTCAGTCGTTTCTTTGAGGTTTCCGTTGTGGATCACCTGATATGTGGCATTGTCGTATAGTTGTTAAATGAATTTGATAAAGATTTGGGCACGTCTCCCTGTAGTGTTGATGTGTTTTCCGCGTATAAAGTATCTTTCAGTCTCTTCAGTACAAAGGAAAATAATATTCTGCTTGGTGTGTACAAGAGCATGATACCACGCCAGTTCTTGAAGATGCCTAAGTCGTACCTCTTTGGTAGTTTGAAGAGGAAGCTTTTCTTCCAATCAGTAGGCACCTATTTTATCCTCTCAAAATTTTGTAAAAGTGGCATTAGTGTATCCGCTCAGGTCCCTGAATCGGTTCTCAGTATTTCAGTAGTTTTACTGCACTCAAGATTTGTCTTTCTGTAGAAGGGTGGGTGTTCGCTAGCAGTATTGCGTGTGCTCTTGGTGGTGTTTTTGGACAAGCTGCAGGTGATAATTGATTCAAGGGCCCTTGTTAAGTGATCAATCTGTTGTTTCCTTTGTCTGTCCTGTTTAGTAATTAGGAGTCTTTTGGTATTAAAATTTAAAATCCATTCATTAATACTGGACCGTACACTTAAATTTATCCAGTTTATTGGCGAATAAGTTGAAGAACTATAATCATTTTTCCGCGATTGAATAAAATACATTAGTGGTTGCGCCTTCCAGTTTTCCTGATAATTACTATCATCCCTTATCGAAAGCAACCACGTGGCGAGCCTGAAACCACTTTCAGAAGTCTAGCGGCAACATGCATGAATTCTTCCGCTGTCAAACCCTTTTGAGCGATATTAACCTACTTGGCTTCTTGACTTCATTATTGGTTGTTTCCAAACATATACCTAATATTAGTAAAAAATGCTACTGAATTTGATCTAATTTTATATTCTGAATTGTTCACATCAATTTGGCAACAGGTAAAACACTGAAATGGGTCCTTCGTGATTGAAGAAAACGATGGGTAGCAGCTTAGAATTATGCAGCTGCTTGGTGATAAACAGATATTTTACCCCAACGATTTACTTCCAGCCAATGTTAACATTGGACGCAGAATATCAGAATTTACATATGACTCAGATGCAAACACCAAGTTGGATACTCAGTTCCAAAGATATAAAGTACCAGTTCAAGTGGATCTTGCAAGCAGAGACCACAGTTGAAAATATAAAGGGTGAATTTGGAAGTTGGACTTAGAATTCAGCAAATATTGCCACCGGATTCTTCTTCAGAAGCTCACCCCTTTAAGTTCACTCAGTTGTACATGAAGTACATTCACCACCTACAACGTTGAATTCGCCGCATATTTCGTAGCAGAAACCATCCTCAGTATGTTGGCACTGCGGTGCCTGACACTACGTTAAGTCATGTTCATTCGAAAGCATTGAATGCCTATAATGCCATGCCATCTGGCACAACAAATATTCCACCACCATCCAGAAAATACTTTCTTCAACATCCCACGTCAATGTCCTTACTCAGGAGACGATTCAGCAACAGTGAGGTTGGCAGTTGATCTAACGAAAAAGAGGCACTATATTAGTTGTACAAATTTCCCTTTATTTAAGAAGGGGTATAATCCTAATGTTGTTTAATCTTAAAATACACGAAAACATACCCATCTAGACATGAAAATAAGAAGAAATTGTTCACTAAAGTAACTGTTTTTAGTGTATTCATGCACAACAAACGCGTTCAGAAAAATCGGGTATTAGTGAAAGGGCTTGGAAGTATGTATAAAAATGTATTATGTAGCAGATGGATCACGAGTTTACTAACAGAATGATATTGATATCTATCATACAATAATGCGAAAATGTAATAATAACGCAATAATAATGACAACTGAGCTTGGAAAAGTGTCCAAGCCAGGAGAAATGGGTGAAGAGTTTCTTCTGCGTGCCTAAATCAGGGTTTTCCGCATAAATAATCAAGGCCTTACCAATGCGAAGAATACGGAAGCATACAGTTTTTGGGGAACTGCTTTAGGCTTTTTAGATAATTACTTTAGCTGGTGTTCCTCAGGGTGCTGTTCTTTCTCCATTTCTGTTTTCTTTTTTCTTACATGACTT